CCGACTCATCGAGTAGATCACTAAAACTCCTGCATAATGTCGAGTCTACTCGACGAGTTGGGCCTCCAACTTGTCGAGTCCCAGAGTAGAATACCAAAATACTTGAATTTAAATATGTGCCAGGAGTCAGGTGCTACAGTACAACACTACAACCCAATATCAAAGTCATTAGCTGTAACATCCGGATTCCCAGGTATATTATTCTAATATTTTATTTTTGGAAATTTGTGAAGGAACTCGGCGAGTTGATGCTTAGACTCGCCGAGTAGGGTCGCGGATTATCATCCGGGTTCGCGTCTGGACTCGGCGAGTCCATTAGCGTACTCGGCGAGTCCACGTTTAATGAAACCCTAATCCCCCGGGGTTGGAGCCTATTTAATGGCACTCATAGCCTCCCATTGTGGCTACCAGTCCCTTGAGAGAACCCTAAATGAGCTAAATCGTTTGGGAGGAAGGAGAAGCCATATTTGATCTTTCTATCTTTGGTTTAGCAAAAAGAAGGTGATCAAGAGCAAGAGGAGACTGAAGGAGGTGTGATTCTAGTGGTTTCAGAGTCCAGAGATATCAACTTGAGATATTTATTCGGACCTTCTTCAGTTTTGGTATTGATTCTTAGAGTTAGGGTTTTCTAACCTCTTTTGAGGATGGTTATGTGGAGCAATTGGTTCCTTCTCGAGTTTATGCTTTGGATCTGGACTCAAATAGGTCCAGATACCTTAACCCTTGGAGCTTTATGAATTATTGATAAGTCTATTTTATGAATGTACTAAATTGCCATAAATCTGTTGAATTGATGTGTAATTGCCCAAGAATGGCACTACTTTGATGAGTTGTTGAACTTTATATGTTGGTCATTATATACAACAAAAATGGGGTGGATACTGCAAGAAAAACGAGCAAACTGAAGTTAACAAGCGTGGGAGACAAATTGCTAAAGGAATGAAGAAAAATGGTGCTGAGAAATTTGACCACTCTTCAATGTTTTGATCATATCTCAAGATCTAGAGCTCCAATTGACATGAACAAAGAAGTTCTGGAAACTAGACAAAATTTCCTACAACTTTCAATTTTTGCGTTTTTACTAATTCTACGGTTTTCATCACCAAAAAGGAGTGACAAAGATGAGGGACGTCCTATAACGCGTCTAAGACGCTCCCTAGGACGCCTACCCGTTTTAGGCCATTTTCAAGTGCAAATCAAGGACGGCAGAAGGCATGTAAAACGCCCCGAAGGACGTCTGGACGTCCTATATGACGTCTAAGACGTCTACTAGGATGCCGACGCGGAAAACAGCTCCGAAAATCAGTTTTTCAGCACCTATTTAAAGGAGATTTAACCCTAATCGACTTTGGACATCTCCCCTGCGATTTTCCTTAGTTTTGGAGGGTTCCAAGCACATTTAAACCTTCTCCAAACGCGTTTCTGATCATCAATTTCCGAATCCGAGGCTACAAATCACCAAGTTCATCATCATTCAACAATTGAAGTCGTTCAACCGGTGGATCTTCATCAAACTTCAAATTTGGTTACTTCTTCTCCAAGATTTCATCGTTCAATGATTGATTGATCATTAGATTTTATTAGTTTTATGATTTCAAGTTGGTTTATGAATTTTATTATGAATTACATTGTTTTTATTCAAGTTTTGTGTTTTGTGAATTCTATGGAAGGCTAAACCACCTAGGTTACTTCCGGGAATGTTTAGGATGACTTGATGAACGTATTTTGATTATGACTTCTATTCCAATCAACTTTGGTTATTATATGTTCTTAAATTTATGATTTCTATTAATGATAATTGAAGTTGGGTCTTATTCATGTGTTTGATTTTACAATTAAGATAGTTTATTGTCAATTCACTAATCGTGCCGAATTCATATAAGTTAGGAGCTAAGACGATCGGTTGAATCAACATATACTATTCCAAACTTGTGATTTTAAATGCTAAACATTTTGATTGGTAATCATAAGACACAATATTGTCAAGCCACTCATTGTTCCTAATCCATTTAGACATAGGGAGTAAGACAATTAGTAGGAATAACATATTGTGTGCCCAAAGTTATTTATTGCATGTTAATTCACCTTAATTATGTCTAGGTAATTAAATTGGAATTTAAGGGAAGATAAACACGTGAGTCTTAATCATCCGACACTGAACCTAAAGTAACCTTGTTTTTCTCATTGGTAATCGTTTTCAATATAAAGTTTCAAGTTTTTTATTAAAATCTTAGTTTAAATATTTTTTGTGACAATTGCAAGTATTAGTTCCTTTTCATTGACTATTATATAACACAAAGTTTGACCACAAACTCCTCGTGGATTCGGCCCTTACTTACCCTAGCTATCTAGTGTGTGTGTGAGGTTTATTTTTGACCGAGACAATGACCTCGATCAAAATTTGGCGCCGTTGCCGGGGAGATTGTGCGCTTGAATTATTTTGTTGAAGTAGTCTTTATATTTTTTTTGTTTTATTTTTAGTTTAGAATCTTCACTCGTTTACTGTTATTTTTTTGTAGGCACAGTGGTGAATGGAAAAATTGAATCAAGATATGTGGTGGGAGAGAGAAAATTCAAGCCAATATCAATGTTATAATGATCTCTACTATGAGTCATATAATGATGATACATGTGATGATCCATATCATGATGATTGTTGGTGGACTGACGATTCAACTCAAAGCCAACACCATGAATCACCTTGTTTTCTGGAGGACCATGAATTAGATGGATCTTCATTTAGCAAAAAGTTGGATCAAATGCTGGACATATTGAGTGAAACCTTCAACAAAGAAGAAGACAACGACCTCGATCAATTATCTTGGGAGTCATGAGCTTAGAATGTCATTTTTGAGGCTAAATCACCAAATGAAACTATCTAGATGATATATGAGTGTCAAGGTGTGGACTTTACGTGATTATTATGCTTGGGAATGCTAGATCTATGGATTAGAGGAACAGATCTGACCTCAAGAGGTCAATGGAGTTTGTGCATGGCATGTACTCGCCGAGTTGTTCTTGAGACTCGGCGAGTTGAGTCGGGGTGGCCCTACGATTCTTACCTGGGGACTTGTCGAGTAAAGGGAGGGACTCGACGTGTTAAATGGAACTAAAGAGTTAGTGGACACATGTGGACTCGCCGAGTAGCCCAAGTGCACTCGACGAGTTGGGTCAAAGTTTGACCGTTGACTTTGGTTGACTTTTAGGGTTTGGTCAACAATGAGGGCCTTTGAGCCAAAGGAGGGGTAAAATGGTCTTTTACCCTTCTAAGGGTGACTAGAGAGGGTTGAGTCTAGTTCTGAGTGTATCACTTTATGTGTTTAGGCGGAGGCTAGATCGTATTTCTACCGAGTCAGTGATTTACTGGGACATCTGAGGTGATTCTTCTCACTATACTTTACCTGGAGTGGTAATTAGAGTTATGTGCTAGAGTTATCGTATGCTATTATGTGATGTGTTGTACTGCATTATTTCTATGTGGTTTATATCATGTGTATATCAGAGTATATCAGATTTAGAACCGGAAGGTTCACAGAGTTAGGACCAGATGGTCCATAGAGTTAGGGCCCACGGGCCTACAGAGTTATGGCCTCGAGTGGCTAGTATGTGTATGCATGGTATTTTGGGGAACTCACTAAGATTTATACTTACAGTGTTATGTGTTATGTGTTTCAGGTACCAGTGATGATCGCGAGAAGGCGCCAGCATGATTCGTACACACGCATGGATTTTTATGTATTTTGATCTTGGGAAATATTTTGTGAAACAAAGTTATGATACCATGGGATTTTATTGATAAATGTGTTTGGAAAAATGTGTTTAGAAATGTGAAAATTTGTTTTAAATTTTACGATGTTACATTAGCCGCCTCATCAAATTCATTAAATCCCTGGTCAAAGTGAAAACCTCTCTGATCAAAATCATTAGCTGCATGATACTTATCCCCACTAAGCATAACTTCACCAACATCGTCCATGGCAAATTTCTCACTACATGATGACAAGGATTTGTCCTTGATACAACCGCTTTTCCTATTATACTTAGGGGATAATGACAAGCTAAACCAGTTGCATTGCCTATAATTCCAACTTGTTTTGGTGGAGTTGGCATACAATCATGTAAAGTATGGGATGTGCATCTATGTGGCCTATCAATTACTTGTGTATCGGTTGTGGGGGTTTCATGCTCCTTAATTTCATTTAATTTCTCAATAATAACTTTTCGCTAGTTTAGGAGCCATAAAGTAAGTAAGAAAGTTTGCCATACCATATTCGATGTATACCCTTATGAGTTTATACTCCTTCACATATTTGATAAGATTACAAATATCATCATCATTTCCTAGGGCATGTAGTCCAAAATGCATGTCTCCCCTGGCTAGGCGAAAATGATAGTAAATAACTAGAGGAACTGAGTATCCTAACTCTTTCATGATGACATACATTTCATGAATACAAAACTCTTTTATATCCACCATATCAACATAGTCACAATTCCATCAATGTAATTGATATCTAGAAACTTTGTAAACTCACAATTTTATCTTCAAAACAAGAACAAAATACAAGTTTCATATGCGATGATTTCACATAGAAAGTGCAACTTATTGAGTTAAAATCTAAGTACGTACCTTATGGCACCCTTGTGTTGAATGATTTGTTTGACAACCTTACGTTCCACATTGGTATATGCATTCACTAAGAAATTCACCTAATCGAAGCTCACAACTTAGATATCGGATTAGGGTTCTTTATCCTCACTTAGTGACGAAAGAAAGTGAATCGACTAACTGAAAATTAGGAACTATAAATGTGAATGAGGCTCGATAATATTCATATGACGATAAGGGAATACATAGTCTAATTTATTAATTAAATAATGGAAAACAACCAAAATACCCTCACTTTGATAAGTCAAACCAATGCTAACATAGGATAATATTAAATGTTAAGACATTAGAGATTGGACCAAACTTGCAATAAAATAAAAAATTTGAACTTATGGTATTTAGTTGATAACTTTTGGATTAAAATAACAATTTTCAAAAAACCAAAGACCTTGCTATTTTGTCAAAAATATATAAAAAGATAAATTTGTTTTTATTAGTGTAATATGTCTTTCCAAACAGTGTAACAAACACGCTTTCTGTTCAACGTGTTTAGAAAGCCGCCCTAACGTCCGTTCATCCATTCATCTTCTTCGCTCAACTGCTCAACTCACAGCTTTCCCCTTTGCACCATCATCTACGCTAACTCACACCTTCATCTTCCCTCGATCTTCTTGCCTTCTCTCTTTCTCTCTCGTTACTAATCTACAGCTAATCACATTCCAGGTTTGTTCTTCCTCTAAATCCAACTGAAATTAGGGTTTCTACTTCGTATTTGATTGTTCTATGTTCAATTGTGGAGACTTCAGTTTTCAATCGAAGTTACGGAAGCTTGGAATTTTAATTGAATCATTTCAATGCATAAGTAATGACAGCGAGAATTTGTCCTCTTCGTATACAATTTACGCTTTGCTTCGTTCGTTTACCAGTTCTATTTACTTCTTTCAAAACTTAAGAAGAAAATGTAGATGTTCCTAGTATTTTTGCTCAATTATTCGATGATGCATTGTAACAAGATGAAATGTGGAATCAATTGCTTACGAATGTGATGCCAATCTAATATTTACTGTTTTTGCGACTCAAAAGTCTCCTGAAACTGTAGAGATTCATAATTGAAACAGGACAAAAAATACCTATTCGATTACTAACTGAAGAAAGTAAGACCTAAGATGAAGTAACAGTTCTCAAACAATTTAAGAACACTTTCGACAAGAACAAGAGTGAAGTCAATCGCTAATGATGGTTCAGGCCGTTTGGCTGTGATATATTCATATTTTCGTCTTCTTTTAGTTGCTTCTTTGGGATGCATCACCCATAGAGGCTTCATGTTTCAGTGTTCTATTTGTCTTCTTGTTCAATAATCAGGACGACTTCTTTGAAAGTAGTATGCTTAGTTTTGTCTTATGTGTTATCTTGTAAGTTGATTACAACTTGATCAGAAAGATGAACCAAATAGTGGTCAATTGTAATTGATTTACCATGTTCCCAAGTCGTCTACCTCTTGCATTTATGAGTGTTCATCTTGTTAACCTAACATATGTGTTTAACTGCCTTCTTAGCTAAATATAATCATCCTTCTTGATTCACATAAGGGCAGAATTAACCTAACCATCTTCTTACCTATTCTAAATCTCAATAGGCTCTTTGGGAAAGTGAGATCTCATCTAATTCTTCACCTGAAATAGATGGAGAACCAGGATGAAATCCCAGTGGAACCAGAAACGGAATCCTCAACATTCATCTCTGCTTATGAAGCTGATGATTGGTCCAATTATAAGGACAGTGATGTTATGCTACAACAATCTGCAATATTTGAAGAGGATGCAGCCAAGTCTCCGTTTGTTGGTGATAAGGTAATAGGAAATCAACACTTCAAAGATTGAGTTTAAGAAATAGCAACATACTTTCATTGCATTTCTTTTGATTGTACTTTGGAAAATCTATCCATTTATAGCAATGTCATTCAAATACAAAGCAAGTTTCACTACTATAATTGGGTATATTTTTTTAGTATAATCTCTTAATAAGAAAAAGAATGGAAGTGCAATGCTTTATAAAAGGATAGATCTTTTAAAAGAAGTAAAGTAATAAAAAGAAGTGAAAGTAGGATGCTATAGTACACAATTATATGAAAGTATGTTGCTATCTATTATCTTTAGTCTTTTTTTTTAAGAAATGAAAGTAGGATGCTAATGCTATAGTGAAATACTTCATTTGATGTTACTGTAGGAACCTCTCTCTTCATTGGAAGCTGAGTATAAGTCTGGAAGCCCCATTTTACTGGAGAAAATTAAGGTTTTCTTTTTATTATTTTACTTTAGTTTTTTTTTTTTTTTTTTTCATTCCATGTTGACCTTTTCTTTTTTGAATTATTTATATTCAACTTAGGTGCTGAGTGAACAATATGCTGCCATCAGAAGAACACGTGGAGATGGGAACTGTTTCTTTCGGAGCTTCATGTTCTCTTACCTTGTATGTTGCATTTTTTTTTTTTTTTTTTTTTTTTTTTTTTGTGTGTGTGTGTATTACAGCATCCTACTTTCATTTATTTTTATTAAAGCATTGTATTATAAAAAATCTTCCCAATTGTAATCCTTTTTAGATGACATTGCTATAAATGGGAAGATTTTTTTTTAAAGAAAGAAATGGAAGTATGATGCTATAATAAGTTAATAACCATATCAAAATGAAAGTATTTTCAAAACCCTTTTTTGAATATTTTGGTGGGATATTTGTAGCTGATTTGAATGTTTGTTCTTTTTTTTTTTATTTTTTTAACATTAAAGGAACATATTCTGGAATCACAAGACATAGCTGAGGTTGAGCGCATTAAAACAAATGTAGAAAAATGCAAAAAGACTCTTCAGGGCTTAGGCTATGCTGATTTTACATTTGAAGATTTTTTCGCAGTAAGTGATTCTTTCATATTAATTCCTTCTTCTCTAATGATTAATAAATATATTTAATAAAAAGATAATGATCTCTGTCTAGACCATTATACCCTTGAATTGTGTTCACAAGATTTTACATTATTCTGTTGTTATTGATAGGTATTAGAGATATTAGACTAATTGTTAAAACATATTTGATCTTTGTTTTTTTGTATTCGATTTTGTAATATTTTATATTTGTGTCAAAACAGTTGTTCATTGAGCAGCTTGAAAGTGTTGTTACAGGGAATGAAGCTCCTATAAGGTTCGGATCCTAAATTATTTACAAATTTTAATTTTGATTAAAAAAAGTAAACCAAAATGCCTTATTTGAAACCATGAATTTAATAAATCTTTTGTTTTCAGTCATGATGAGCTCATAGTTAGAAGTCGCGATCAGTCAGTATCCGATTATGGTAAGTAGAGTAATTTTCATTTTTCGTCCCTGAGTATAGCTGATTTTTGCAATTTTGGTCCCCAAAAAGTTCTCTTATAATTTTCTTCCTTATTTGAGGTTCTAGTAACTTTTTTGGTTCTTGTTACAAGTAAAGTGACTATTTTTGCAATTTTGGTCTAAAAAATGCAGTCATTAACATTACAAAAACCTCAAATAAGGATCAAAATTGAAAAAAATCTGCTATTCTTGGGGACTAAAAATGCAACTTACTCAAAAAAGTATAGCAATTCTATTTTTACTTTGTGCTTTTGTCACACAAGCTTTCTAGAGCCATATTCAACTTCGAGGACAACGAGGGCATTTTCGTCTTTTTGCACGGACTACGTCCCATGTTTTTGAGTAGGACAAAAGAAATTGCATTTTTTTTGTCTCATTCACATCAAAATCCCAATCCCAATCCAATATACACTAAACACAGTACAACCTGTTTTGTGACCTGTATCTGTCTTGTCCTGTCCAGTCATGTCCTGACAACAGCTGTTGTTGTCCAGTTGTGATGTTTTTCAGATTCGTGACCTCTGGAGAAATAAGAAAACGTTCGGAATTTTTCGAACCATTCATATTCGGTTTAGCAAACTTAACCGTGGAACAGGTTTGTATTTTATTGTTATTATTATTATTTTTTTTTTTAAAAAAAAATCTAATAATTAAAATTTTAAATGTTGTATAGTTTTGCAAGACATCAGTGGAACCAATGGGTGAAGAAAGCGACCACGTCCACATTACAGCATTGTCCGACGCGTTGGGGGTACCGATTCGTGTTGTGTATCTTGATCGTAGCTCTTGTGACACCGGGGGCATAAGCGTAAATCACCATGATTTTGTTCCAGCCTCTGATGACAATGACACATCATCAAGTGCTGCAGGGGGCTCTGACACAAACTCAAACCCAATCCCGTTCATTGTCTTGTTGTACCGACCGGGTCATTATGACATACTGTACAGAAAGTGAAACTCTCGTGTATTCTGGTAATCTCCTCCCTCTTCTTGATATAGCTGTACTGTGTTTGGATTGTATTGGACTTGGATCAGCTTTTCCACCTAAAAAGGTGGGAAAGAGATAAAAAGTTGCAACATTTTTTTTTTTAATCTCATTGAAAAAGGTGAGATGAAATTGGTGTTAAGGAAGGTGGTTTTAGGGTGGAGTTTGGAACTAATAATGAAGTTATTGTAGGTAATAATAATAGGGCGTGGATGAAGAGCTGAAGGGGAGTTGGGAGTTAGGGTTTGAAAACGTTTTTTTTTTTTTTTTTTTTTTTCATTTTGTAAGTGAATACAAGGTGTTAATGTTTTCTTGATGAGATAAACGAACGTGTTTGACATTTGGTCTTATATTCATATTAACCCCAGGCTTTTACTTTCACTTTCACTTTCACCTACATCGTAACAAGTAATTATTTTTCTATTGTTCATTAGACTAGGCGGAGTGGGTGTGCCAAACCCACTCACCAAGGGGGCTCTTCAAGCCGAAGGTGCTGGTGGAGGGACTCCTTGACTAGCTATGACCAAGACTTGACCACCTTGACTAGCTTTGACCAATATTTTATACATTTAAACTCATTCTTTTTTAAAAAATAAAACCAGCCTTTTATAAAAAAAATTCAAAATTTCTTCCAAATATGTTTGTTCGTACCATTCTATCATCTAGAAAGGTCACTAGGACTGTAAATAAACCGAATAAACACGAACATGGCTTGTTCGTATCGTTCGTTTAAGTTAGCCGAACAAATGAATGAACACAAACGGATAAACGAACAAGTTTTCTTGTTCATATTCTTTCGTTTAACAAATTGTATTGTTCGTGTTCGTTCGTTTATGTTCATGAACATGTTAAATGAATATAAATGAACAAAGATAAATAAATATAATTTAAACATGTGAACATAAATGAACATATAATATATTAATGTAGTTAAATACAATTAAACATATATGAACATAAAAGAAACTTATATGGACGAACATAAACAAAAGTAAACAAACAACATAAATGAACGTTCACAAACATAATTGAATGAATGAGATCATTGTTTATGTTCGTTCGTTTAACTAAACGAACGGAAATTTGTGTTCATATTCGTTAATTTATTAAATAAACGAATATAAACGAACTTCCCACCGAACGGTTCACGAACAGTTCGTTGAACGTTCAGTTCGTTAACAACCCTAAAGATCACCCAAAAAAAGTTGGGTTGGTTGGTGAGTCACCCAAAAAAAGCATCGAAAAATGTCAAGTTATAAATACACACTTAACCTTAACATTTTACCATATAATCTCATTCTTTCCCTCAAAACATCTATTAGCTTTCCAAATAAGAAACATGTCTTCAAACCAAACCATAACCCTAAGATGAAACCATAAAAGGTCTTCAAACACTAACAACATGTCTTCAACAAACGCTCTGTAACCGAGGTGTTATAGACTCTTTTATGATCAACCTCTCTATTCACGGTAAGTTATCATTTTCCGGCCATGGCTCCAAATTTGTATCAATGTCACTAATAATTCATGCAATTTCCACAACAAATTTTCCAACATCGTAACGTTTTCCAAACCCAAACCCAAACTAGTTCCCAAATCCAACTCGAACACGATCCCACATTTAACCTTTTGAGACGGTTCTTGAAACCCAAATTGTTTCACAACCAAATTTTCAAACCGAACCATGACACTTGTATGGCAAAGATATAAATTCTTCCGACGAGGGGCCCATGCCACAAGTTGAACCGACGAGAAGTCCATGCCTAGAAGAAGCAAGTCGTCCGAAACAACCCATAGTCAATCTTCTGAGGGCCTGTAAATATATATGGAGCCATAGATTCCTATCCGAGAGAGAGAGAGAGAGAGAGAGAGAGAGAGAGAGAGAGAGAGAGAGAGAGAGAGAGAGAGAGGACTCTAATACATATAACAACTTATATGGCCGTGTTGCATTGATGTGAGATATACTAACATTCCCCCTTAGAGTCGGAGGCTTGATGATGATAGACATGGATGTGCTGAGCCACGAGGTGTGGGACGTCAGCTCTATACCATGTAAATATATATGGAGTCGAAGATTTCTCTCCAAAAGAGCCCTTGTGAAGAAAATGTGGACTCTAACATATATAGTCATTTATAAGACCGTGTCGTATTGATACGAGACACACTAACATGACCATGTTGGGTTTGACCTCAACACCGCCGACCCATATGAAGTGTGATCTCGTCCTATGAGAATAGATAACGCAAAAAAGAAGCTCAAAAGTGTTGTTTTTTCATCTAGTAACATTGAGGTCATAAAGGAGTTTTAAGATGGGAACACTAAAATCGACAAAATCTTGGAGGTAGATGAAATCAAACAAAAAATACGAGCACTAAAACTCTTTGATGAAAGACGAATCGAATTTGTCCGAGGAGACTCAGATTGCAAAGGTAAAGACGAATCTACCCAAAATTTTTAATCTGACGAAGTAGTTTATTAAGTCATATTTTAAAGTTTAGTATTAAATCACATTTTTATGTTTTAAGTCATTTATTAAGTTATATTTTAAGTCATTTGTTAAATTGTGTTTTTAGTTAATATAGTTGTTAAAAAGATAAGCAGAATTAATAATTATATATAAAAAGTGATATGTCATGATAATCACACCACCATTCACTAATATGAGTAATATCATGTTTAGGTGATATGTAAAAAAAGTATGTTCCAACATGTTATGCACACCACTACTCTCTAAAATTTTAAATAATATATATTTTTCTTATTTGCGAACCAGGTCGACAACTTTTTATTTTATTTTTGTATTGAATAGTTATTATCCTTACAACTTTTATAATATTGAAGACGTACAAGAAACTGTTTTTATATGATGCATGTATATAATTATTTTTATATTAAATATTAGATACATTTTACTTGTAATTTTTATGTTAAGTAACATAAACACTAGCACTTGATGATCGGATTTCAAAACTTTGGTTACTAACAATCATATAATAAAATAATTATTTCTTCAGAATCCATTATAAATAAATCATCCATATTAATAAACGGATTTTGCGCAATACCTTTGCCTAACAAAATTATTTTATAATAGGGTTTCACTATGCAAAATTTTTTCTTAATAGTTTTGTATAACAAAATTTAGTGGCGGATCTAGAATAAAAAACTACGTGGTTCTCTAACAGATTTCAACCAAACCGGTTCAAAAGAAAATCCGTTTCAATCGGTCGGTAACATAAAAAAAATAACTAGTTCAACATTTATAAAAGTTGGTGGTGAAACAACCGAGTCAAATCAGTATTTCATTATTTTTTTTACTAAAATCAGTTTATACGGATAGTAAGTTGGAAGCATGAAAGAGGAAACAACTATTTATAATGGAGAATTGCCTCACAACTTTTCTTCATGGAGTCGATGAGTGATTCTTTCATATCAAAAAAATATAATATGCTTTCGATTATCTACCGTTTATATCACTTTTTTCCATCAGTTTTTTTGTCAAATATATTAAGGTAGGTCTTTCAAAATATTTAAAAAGTATGTTCTAAATATTTTTTAAATATAACTTATTGTAACATTTTAAAATTTAGGTGGATCAAGTGACCCATCTTTACATTAACTAGCATCGTCCGTGTAAGAGATTCATATAATATTGATACATTTTCAAAGTAAGATTTTTTTTTTTTTTAATTTTTTATTAATAAAATAAAACAATTTGCAGTATAAACATAATTAAGACTTCTCGGAATAGTATACAATTTTAAAAATTAATGATTAAAATGAAATTTTCAAAAAAATTTCATTTCACATCTTCACCGAGCATTGGCAGAGGTTACGGGATAACCCAAAACATAAATACGTAATTACCTTGTTTTTCTATTTATCGTTTTTTTTTTTTTAAAAACAACAACAAATCCCAGCCACTCAGCTACCTTGAATCCTTTTGCAGAAGTTTCTTACTTAAAGAAATTTAAAATGTAAAAACAAAAAACCTTTTTAATTTGTTTTTCATGACCTTTATATAAAATGTCTTATATATGATTGCTTATAAATTATCTTAAGCACCAAATCATTGAAAAAACTCAAAGCAAGAGATGGTAATTAACCTAGCTAAGGGAATATATGGTAGAATCTTAATTTTTAAGAGATTTGAATTTTTATAAGGGTTTGAATTTTGAAGATCTAAATTTTATCATACTTTTTGGTTGAAATCTTTGAATTGTTGTGTTGAAAAATAAAAATGATCATTTTATCATTTTGTTTAAAATAATAATAAATATTAATAAAACCTTAACTTTAATAAGGCAATTAGATTTACATATAAACATTTTACCAATATTTAATCCACTACACGTGTTCATAACTTTCAAATAATTTAGTTTTGGTACATTCCATACACACATTCACAAACTTCTAATTATAACAGTGTACTTTAAAAGTGCATTAATATAGCTGGGAGCAGTTTTGTTTTTTTACATACAAAAATGACTTATCACAAACAAATGGTACCTGTTTAAAATTCACAAATGGTACTGAACATGCATTTTTTCAGTTAAAACCAATGTATAGGTAATATAATAATAGCAACCAACTTACATTCTTTTACAAATATAGACAACTTCCGATCCAAAACTTGTAAAATGATACTCTACTTACTTATTTGTTTATACCAATACACAAATATAGATGGTTGCACAATCCACTACCTCCAAAATTCAAAAGCAACAAGATTACAATGTTTTTGTTCCATCCATACATACCATCATTGTTGAACACCATACGCTATTACCATGATGGTGTTAGTCCCATCTTAAACCAATATAGAAGAGCATTGATTTCATTACCGATTTTAGTAAGAAAACATTGATTTTAGCCAGAAATCGCAAAATTTCATAATATTTGGGGAGAGAAAAAAGGAAAAGATTGAAGAATGGTACATGCATGAAGGCGACCATTGTTGTGCGACGGTGGCACCAAAGGTGTGGATCATTAATCAAACTAACTTACACCTTTCAAGCAAAACAAAAGAAAAATTAAGAGGCATGTCATAAATTAAGAGGTATAAATTCAAATGTTACCAAACACTCTTAGGATGCGTTTGACGTGTCATAGCTATCCGATAAGCTAGTTTATTTTTTCGAGCTTTCTAAGTTGTTATGTTTGGCAAACAAAAAAGTAGCTTAAAAGCTAGCTTTTTAAAAAGTTATTTAGACTAGCTTTTTAGGAGTTTTTTGTAAAATTTTCCAAATACACCCCTTAATTAATTATAAAAACGCATTCTCTTACATATCATTTTATGTCATTTTATATCTTTCAATTAGTTTTATCAAACAAT